CCAAATTGCAATGAATGAATAATGGGCTGTGGGAGTGGCTTCAGAGATGAATAAACAGATGCCATTGGGAGGTATTTGAGTGAAGTCTGATGTTTTGGTTAACGATGAAATCTACGGACAAAGCGAGCTTATAGCAATTGATTTACTAAACTCTATGTAAGGATTCGCTGCTGCACATTACTAAAGATTTGCTTAACAACGCATTATGATGAAAATTATTGGGGCGAATGCGAAAGAACTAATTTCACGTTGAAACCATTTTAGGGTGTTTTAATTTGAAAACCAATTGCCAGACTGTCGAGCTCTCATTTGAGTCATTGCAAACAGGAATATCCAAAAGACAATTCAATTATTCTTAGTGCCAAATGCATGAGTAATTAACGCGCAGTTGCTGCAAATAATGAACTCTATAAAGTTTTACCGGCAAAATAAAATATGCAAAACGTGGCAGCAAAGAAATTCCATGAAATAATAAAATGCTTGTAGGAGAACGAAAAGTTGCTGCCACTTAACGGAAAGTTTTCTTAAACAAGACGAAGGGGACCACGCAACGACTTGGCAAAGTTTTTCAATAAGCGGCAATGCCAAAAACAAGGCTCAACATGTGTTCCAGACCTGCTCAAAAAACAGGGCGCAACCAAGGGGCAGTCGAGGGGAGGGCAAGAAATACACAACTGTGAAATCTGATGAACCAAGTGGAAGCATGCAGAAGGAAGCAGGCGATTCGGGCGATGCCTGACCAGTAGCAGGAAAAATATGGAAGCCAAGGCCAGGGGGCATTATAATTTATGATAAGCCAATAAAAATAATTGAAATACATTGAAGGCAGGCAACGGCTACAGAAAGGGAGAGCCACACCTCTGCCCATCTATGTGTATGTACGCATGTGAGGGTACAACGAACCCATTAAGAGCTCCTTCGTCGATTGCTGTGAGGTAAATCGAACTGAAGGCAAAAAAATATTAAAGTAATGGCACGCAATAAAGGGCGAGAAAACGACACGGGAATGTCAAAGTTGAGGCACAGCCCCCAAGGCATTCTGATGAGGCTGCTGCTGTGTGAAAGGTATAAACATATATAAAAACACTCTAAATAAAACATTGCGGAAAGTAGTGTCAGGAGTTGAAGTCGGAATTTGGCGGGCTAATGCGAGAGGAGATATGACTAAGAGATTGCTACTTGGTGATTGTTGTTGGATGCAAGAGAAGATGCCAAAAACTTTGATTTTCGTGTTTGAGTCAGCGATGAAGGATGAAATCCAATATGGTTTACCTTTCAGTGGCGTACGCTGTGTATACGTAATCTTGGTGAAAACAGCGATAAAGTGACAAATTGCACACATATTTCATATTTCTTTGAGTGTTTTGTCCAATTTACACATATAATGGACTGATTTTATGTGTCCCTATATGTACTTTGAGAGCCGTATTTAGGAGGAAGGCCTAGGACAATGCCTCTATTTGTTGTGCTTATTTTAAAGCACGAAGCTTGTGCTTCACTAATTTCAGCTAGCTATAAATCACTCATGAAAGTTAACTTTACCAAACATCTCTCAACATCTTCATAAACCTTCATCCAGTTGCCAGACGTTTATCTCCTAGAAGCACTAAGAAGCATTTTGTCTGTTAAGCCACATTTTCTTGGCCACAATAAGTTTTAGGCGTAAAATTTTCCAGCTTTGGATTTCACAGGCTTTCAGGCTCTGTGTGAATTACGCTTGATATTTTGCGCTTGACGAAGCAGCTTTATTTCATTAGACGTTTTTATACCCTGAACCCATTGAGAATGGGTAAAAAGGGTATATTGTTTTTGTGCAAAAATGCAAATGTATGTAACAGGCAGAAGGAAGCATATCCGACCCCATATATATTCTTGATCGTCTGACTGTCCATCCGTATGTATGAACGCAAGGATCTCAGAACCTTTAAGAGCAACAGACTTAAAATTAGATTAGATTAGAAATTATATGTAGGTGCTCCTAGTGCCTGCGCAGATCGAGTTTGTTTCCGATAATCGATAACTTACTCCGTTTCCAAGAAATCGGGTAAATAATAATAGCTAGAGTCACCAAACATGATATGTTGCTTCTAGAATATTATATATATGTCAAGTATCTTTCATTTTATACCTATCGCCACCTCCCCGCTACCAGAGCTATAAATCAAGTTAATAACTCAACTTTTATTGCCAACCAATTTAAATACAATTGATTTTTTTAGAATATTCTATGGTACAATAAGTTATACTGTAGAAAATTTCAAAGTTATATGCAACTGCGCAATTGGATGGGGCAGCTTTAAGAAGTTATCTATACATGTACACACACACATTCACGCGCGTCTGCTTCGCATTCTACCAGCATGGTAATTGCGACTTTTTTCTGTAAAGCTATTTTAGTTTCTATTTTTTATCATTACTACTTAATTATTGGTGTGGCTGTTGAGTAGAGTCGACAGCAAGTAATGCGGTCAGTTGCGAGTTCGAACCCTGCCAAGGGAATATTTTTTTTTTAATTTATTTTGTGTTGGAATAAGAGGGTTCAGGGTATTCCCTAGTCGGGACCTCCCGACTAGAACCTCTTACTTCTTAAACTTAATTTTATTTAAAAATATATTCAATTTTATTTTGAACAACCTGAATTATTAATTCAGTATAAATTATTTGTGTATTATTCACATTATTTTTTCACACAAAACGCAAATTCAACCGCTATGCGATCAATTCGAAGCTGACAACAAAATAATTTTGCCACATCATCAAAAATGCAGCAAATTAATAAATTTCACAAAATTTCAATTTACTGCCCTTTTGTGGGTTGCAACGAGCGATGATAACTACAACCTGGCAAGAGTAATATTTATTATGTGTCTGCTTTACATAGCAGCAGAAACCGTAAAAATAACAAAGGACAACAACAAAAACATCAGCGACAACATCACAATATTTATATTTCATTATATGTGGCAGCAAGAGAAAATGCAGCGAAGGGTAAGCGGGTTGGCCCGTTCCGCGAAAATGGGACAACAATGACGATAATCATAATAACAGCAACAATGGAGCGAGGCGACGGAAGCAGCCGTGTGGGACGGTACCACGGGGCGTATGATTGACACTTTTACATGCTGATGGTCAGTGCCCTCTTATATCGGGATACAAACACGTATGTCATGGGCTTGTATGCATATGCGCCCGAAATCACACTTTATGTGGTCCCTCCAGTCTGCGAGGTGAGACACTGACGTCTGCCACGAAGCTGATGCTGCCTGTCCTCATCCCCAGACACTGCATAACCAACCTGGATAGGAGCTGCAAGGAGAGTCTGCCGTGTTATGCTGACTCTGCTCTTTGAAGGATGCTGCCTGGCCTGTCATGGAAAACAACAACAACCATGACAGAAGTGGTTTTATTTGCCAACTACACCGAAGTTCCAAATTGCGCAAGAAACACAGAAAATCAAAAAAGAGGGATTGGGGAAAGAACATTGCAAGCGTGTGTTGTGTTACAAAAAAATGTTTAGCCACAACCCGAATAAAATTTTGCGCCTGAAGCCAGGCAGAGTTTGAACAACAGGCTGCGGCAGCATTCTAGACTTGACTTGGTTAAGTTGAGAGGTAAGGTCAGAAGAGAGATGGAACTGAAGTAAAGCAGTAATTAGGATTTCGTCTTCATCCTTCTACACAGAGTTAGCAATTGGATTATTTCCACTTTAAAAATGATTATGTGTGAAAAGCTAAGTTTAACTAGACTTTCTAAATTGCCTGAGCAATTTGAAAAAAAAAAAAAGCAAAAATAGTAATTTGATCCGAAACAATGCAGCTTTCTGATTATCAGGTAAATCGTCAAAATGAGAGTAGCTTTTGTATAAACATAAATTAAAAAGATAACCAACTGTAGTTAATTTATTTCATTTGTTTTTATAAATTTAATGCAATTATTTTGCCTTTTATTTTAACCTTTTTAAATTTGTTGCGTTATTTGCTTCGTTGGCAAAAACACGATATTTACTTATAAAATATCACATATACGCGTCGCATGATGAGGCTGGCACATATATCAAAACTCATTATTTTATTTCCCCTCTTTTTAATATCGCCATGGGACGAGTGAGACCAACGAACTCTGGGTAACTGGAAAGCAATTCTGTAGTCAGTATTTTCGCATATTATTAACTCTGCTAAGTATTGGGATTAGGCTGTCTGACCTACGAGTCTATCGGGAGTATTTTGAATTATTTATGTAAGCGAGTATGATGTAAAACTTATATAAATGATAAATTAAATGGAAATAAACAATTATTGAGAGTTATTTTACTTAGGAATTCGCAGATCCCAAATGCACAAAATCCACCCAGCCAATTACCTGCAACATCAGCCAAGTGCCAGATCCAATAAATTCTTACCCTGAGCTGTGATACATGAAACATGCAGACGCCAGGAGGATATAAAACACTTTTTGGGGGCTGTAAGGGGAAATGTTGCAACTGCATTCGTCCGATGTTGGTTGTGTCGTTGGTTTCCCTGTCGCTCGTTGGCTGCTTCCTGCTGCTGGTGTAAATTTAATGCAAATTAAATGGAATTTTCCTGCTTAAATTTATTGAATACGCATTGCTGCACACAACAAGAGGGGACCCAGGCAGGCTGCAGCTGGAAAATTGTGTATTTGTCACATAATTGGGACAAGGACTTTCTCTGGGTGCAGCAACGGGACATGCAGTCAATTGATAAAAAACTCTAAGGAAACAATCTCCAAGAGATAATTGGTAGTGGAAGTGGCCCCTAGAAGGGCTGCAGCGCTCAAAGTTATGCATGCCTCCTGCATCTGACGGCCTGAAATCGTTCGAATGACCCCACCCTGATACACACACACAGTCTCACAAGCAAATAGCATAACTTGTAATTCACTCGCTTTGCTCTGTTTGCTGTATAATGTTTGCCCTGTCGAAGTAACCCCGCCTCGAATCTCTGTTCTCCCTTAGTAATAATTTGCAAAATTATATTTACCAAGTATTTCGCCTTGCTCGTCTAATACATTTTCCCAGAGTCCCAGCGGTGCCTGCAAAGAAAACCCAAAAAGAGAATCAAATACGGTATTTTTGGTCAGGAGCCCCCTGCCCGTCATAAAATCTCAAATTATTGAAATGGAAAAACTGATTGTCGTGTGGTTTTTGCTTGAATAATAAAAACGTTTTATGGAGGTGCTTTTATGGCCCACTCCGTGGGTGGGCCTTCTGGTGAACTGGAATAGGGAAAGTTAAAAACAATTCAAGCAATCATATTGCACTTTTTTGCAAGTCTAAGAAGATCAACAAAATTTGCAAACTTTCTAGAAATCTATGTCTGACATCTGCGCTCTATAAGGACATAAGATCTTATCAGTTTTTCTCATTTTGTCCTTACTTAAATTTGATCTCCCCCTAATATAGGGTCCCTCTTATTGCATGTCTTGCTGCTTATTTGAAGCTAAATAAATATTTACCTGGCGAATTTTTAATTTAGGGCTCATTTGTGTGTATGTGAGTGCTGGAACCACATCACACGCACAGGTACACGCCCCATAAAGGCTGACATACCGACCCCTGGCCAAGAACAAGGAAATTAAATAAAAACGATGCCGAGTATAGTGTGCAGAGGTTGCTTAAAACATTTCAGTGCCTCGTTCGGTGTTTACACTTGCCTTTTATTAATTTTCGCATGCTGAGGCAGAAGTTTGTGTCCCCTCTGAATCCTTTTATCAACAAGGACGGTATGTTGACATTTCTGGATTAAAGGAAACCCAGTTTATCCCTTTGCTAATCCATCGGCCCACCTTCTACGAAAACTCAAGGGGCATCACATTGGGAATATGGCTTTCTCATGCTTCATCTTGTTTGGGTACACTTTTCGCATCTGGAATCAGATTATGTGCTTACTGTTATGTTGATGCTGTGCCTCGATTTGCATGCAAATATCCGTATCCCCCTCGAAGGAGGCGTGGGCCATTCGCCCGGCAGGTTTGTCAAGGTGAATTCATTGCCACGTAAATAAAGTGAAAAGAAATTCCAGTGCCACAGAAAATTTATTTTCTTCTGCCTTAGGCACTCAACTGATTGCACTCAACAATTTGCGTAAGCAATAGGAAATAACAACAAATTAATTGAGTATTAATAGCACATTTGTGGCATCTGCTTTTCATATTAACTGAACAGCTTTACGGCCTCTCATAAATAAGGTAAATAATTAGGTGCCCGTTGGGAACTTTTTGGAAACTTTGAAAGCAGCTGGGTTAGTCGTGGGTGTAACGAGGAGTCCGAACTGCCTTTAAATATTTCTGGAGAACAATACTGAATACTTTGTATTCTTAGCAATGCTTAAAATCCCTGAGAAATGTTTTCAGAAGAGAAGCATTTCTATTGTTAGAACTTATTCATATTTATTTTAAGTGTGTTTATATAATGCCCAATTCAAAAGAAATTATTAAAGTTGTAAACAAGGGTTAATATTGTTCAAAAGTCAAAACAATGCCAAAACCAAGACATCAGCACAATCTTTTCACACAGAAAAAAAGTGAACAAAACAATTGAAACAAAGGAAGTCCAATAAAAAGCATACAAATTTAAGTAATTATTCAAGACCAAAATTCATTAACCTCCAGCAAGCGCTGCGATTTATGTCGCATTCTTCGACACTGCTCGAATTAGGTGACAATAGCAAAGTTGATGGTTAAGGTTTTCGGCTGTTGTTTCTTGGGAGTCTAGAAGAACATAACTCCTTAAGCCTCGCAGTCTCTAAAACTACCACGAAATGACAAGAGAAATGTGGTCCAAGGAGGCGGACAGCTGAATGCTGAATGCTTGTTTCGTGTATTTGCCTTGTCTTGGCATATCTCAGACCTTAGCACATCCCCTCAACGTGACTGGCAATATACGAAACAGCACGGAAGCAATTCACACAATGCAAATTTGCTAGTCAAGTTGAGCACTTCCTGTTGTTTTTGTACCTTCCCTTTCCTTCGCATCAGAACTTTCATACAGACAAAGTATGAGAAGGTGGTTGGTAATTTTTCTCAGCCCTTTTCCCGGTTTTCATATAAGCAAAGTCTATTAAAGATGATTTATATGGAATATATTTCTACCTTGGCTGTTATGGATAAACTTTTTGCAGGCACCCAATAAATTTTGAAGAAACGGAACGCAAATCACAACAAACTTTACCAACAAGCAACAAATTCTTTTAAATAAAATCTTATTGGCTTTTCCATGTATTACTTTCAGAAATTTGTGAAATGGTTCAGACTGTTTTACATAATATTCCAATCCTCAGTAGTATGGGACGCTCCACTTGTCTAGCTAATTTTTCATTTTTAATGAGCTCCGAGCCACCTCCTTTTTCCTTTCTTTCTTCGTCTCCGCCTTCGCTCACCTGAACCTATGGCAAGCTCTAAGTCGATTATCCGCTTCTTTCTGCGCTTTTCAGCAGCACGTGGTACTGTGCTTTAAGCTGGAAAATTCTGTGAGTCGCCTTATTAATGACAGCAGTTTAAGTGCTCATTATTCTTTGTCCCCGCTAAGCACTTCACACTGCATAGACAGCCACGCCCTGCGGAAATGATGTTGTCACCAAGTCAAATCGCTTTATATCCGCTCCGGGGGAAATGACTCGGACATGGACTAAGCTTTAGCTCAGTGTGTACACCTGCTTTGCTTTAGTGCTCTATATTATTTCCCCTTTTAACATTTCTTTCACTCCCGACTTTATTCTGCGATGCTCTTGGCAAGTTTCAATTATAAACACTCTAAAATTGGCTTAGTGCACTGCGCTTTATGGCCAGAACGTGCGTGGGATTGGCAACAAACGGAAGCTGCCTGCAATCAGTTGAAGAGAGTTAAGAGCGTGGGCCAGGGGGGATTTCCTGCATTGGCTGTCGGGTTAGCGACAGTTGAAAGGGTAGAGCAATCCCGTTGTTTTTTTCTGTGATGCTAGTTGATGTAAATCAAAAGGGATGGTCGAAATCTGTTGAGACTGAACCCTGAAGATAAACATCGATTTCAAAATATTGCCTATAACTCTGAAATACTTATGAGTCTACTTCTCAATCGTTACAGTCAGATTAAGCTGGTCCATCTAGGTTATCAGCAAAACTCATCGAATAAAATAAAGTTATAGTGTGAAATAATAAGAACAATGAAGATATACTGTAGAAACCTGTCCCTGGGTTCTCATTATATTCTTGAAACAAAAAGGAGCAACCTTTTTTGGTTGGTACGCGCAAAACCAACACAAGTCATAAAAGGGAATTGAAATAGTTTATGGGCCCATTAAAAGATTTGGACGGTAGTCGATCAGGAGCACCAGAGCGAAGACAGGTCAAGCTGCAAATGGCAAACAGCAAACGAAAAAGGCAAGAAAACGTAAAACATGCAGAGAGAACAGCATCAGAACCAAAGAAGTCGTCAAATAGTCTGGACAACTGTCATAGGTGGCAGCTGAAAAAAAGACAAAAAAAGGGGGGACAGGGGCATAAACAAACAATGCAAAAACTGAAACACAACAAATTGTAAAAAAAACAAGAAGGAGGGAGTTTCCGACTAGGGGACACCCTGAACCCTCTTATTCCAAGACCAAATGCATATATATATTCTATTTTAGAAGCTATTTGTCAAGTTTGGTGACTGTAGCTCTTATTATTTACCAAAATTGCCCAAAAAACAGGATATCTATATCGATTTTTATCGATTGATTGGAAACGGAGCAAGTTATCGATTATCGGAAACAAACTCGATCTGCGCAGGAGCTAGGAGCATCTACATCTAAAGTCATTCAAGTCTCTAGCCCTTATAGGTTCTAAGATCCTTGCGTTCATACATACGGACGGACGGACAGACAGACGGACATGGCTAGATCGACTCGGCTATTGATGCTGACCAAGAATATATATACTTTATGGGGTCGGAGATGCTTCCTTCTGCATGTTACATACATTTGGCTTTCGCACAAATACAATACATCCTTATATCCATTTTTAATGGGTTCAGGGTAAAAAAGTTACTTTGGCAGGGCTCTAACTCGCAACTAACCGCACTACATGCCGCCGTCTCTACTCAACAGCCACACCACCCAAAAAAATAAAAAATAAAATAGCTTCCTCCCGACATACAACGCCACTTGCCACCGCCTCTACTCAACAGCCACATCTATAATTGCGTCTTACTGAGAAAAAAAAAACTAATTAAAATAGCAGCAGTGAAAACAATACAATGGAAGTGAATATGTGTGTGAATATGTGTGTGCACATGTATACAGAAATTCTTGGATTTTGAGTCGCAAACACGTGCGTAGTCAAAATACCGAAAAACAAAACAAAAACCGATCTTAATGAACTTTTCTATAGTATATCTTATTGTACCATAGAATATTTGTGTATACCCAAAAATTGCATTAAAATTGTAGCTTCAATTGGTGGGCAATAGAAGTTGGGTTATTTACTTGATTTATAGCTATGAGGTAGTAGCGGGGATGTGGCGATAGGTATTAAATGAAAGAATATAGAATACTATTCTAGAGTAAACATGTCACTTTTGGTGGCTCTTATTATTTACCCAATTTGCTCAAAAAACAGGATTTCGATAGCGACTTTTATCGATCACTTGAAAACACGACAAGTTATCGAATATCGGAAACAAACTTGATCTTCGCGGGCACTAGGAGGACCTACAGCTAAAATTTCAATGGGTTCAGGGTATAAAAAGCTACAAAAGTTTTTTAATTGGGTAGTGGAAACAGGATGTGTATACTGACGAAGGCTGGCAGACGGACGAAGGTAATGCCAAAATGAAAAATTGTTGCAGCTTGTATGTGTTTTGCTTCTTGAAACCAACATGCATCGCAAAAAGCAAACTAACTAAACTCTTAACAGTCAGAAAAGTCAACAGTTTTGTATATTTACCAACATATACAGGCTTTAAGTCTTTAAGTTCTTATGACTTTAATATAAGCGTGTTTTTGAATGCATATTTTTGGCTTCATCACACAAGAATTTAAGCTTCGCTTCGGATTTCTTCCTTTCCCCTAGACTGA